GCTGTCATGCTGTACAACCAACCCAGTAGACACCCCACCCAACTGACCTCACACACCACAGACTGAATACTCAGCATACCAGTGTGCAATATCAGTCTTGCTTTTTATTATTATAGCTACATTGTTTATATCGACAACACCTTGTCTGTTACTCTTGATTCTTATCACTGAATGCCTTGTTTCTATGCCTTTGCTGCTGTAAGGGTGTGACTTTCCCCTTCATGGGACTAATAACGGTTCCTCTTATCTTTATACGGATCTGCACAATCATGAGGATGGTCATTCGAATTAGTTTTTCTCCTTATGGCAAACTGAGTAAGCTTTGACTTAGAAAAGACACTACCTTGGAAGGTATCAATGTATTTGAGAAACTGGAGTTTAAATTACCAGTTACTCAGTAGCTTTGAATGAGCAACTTTTGAATGTTTCCGCAAACGGTACTTAAATATTTATAAAATATACCTATTTAAAATTATGGTTACCATATGGTTTTCACAGAATGTGAGTGACAGTGAAAGCTAACTAAAAACAAGTCAGGTAAAAAATATTACAATGTATTAGAATATTCAAGTAGACTAATAAATAAAAAGTGTCTATCTGTTTATGGCAACATGATGCATGATTTCTAAATGTTTTGTGTGCATTTATCTTTTGAAATGTAAATATTTGTATCATCATGCAACATATAGCTCTATTTCAAACCTACATTTGATATTTGATGAACCATCACCTTTAACATGAAACCCCTAAATGTTTTTTTTTTTTGTTGCGCGTCTGTGTATTTTAGCAGAGTTAAAATTCCTGCAAAAGTGTGGCAGACAACAGAACTGTTTCTATTTTGATAACGTTCTGTTTGTCTACAGTGTCCCAGCACTCCATGTTGTATCCCTGTGATTTGTCATAACAGATGTCACTATTGCTGCAGGCTGCTGGAGGAGCTGCTGCAAAAGGAGAAGGAGTACCACCAGGTCCTGAAGGCCACGCTGCAACAGAGGACCCACGAGCTGGAGCTGGTCAGAGTTAGACACCGACCGCTGGGTAAACACACCCACTGATTAGTCAACTGCCTTATGAATATACAGACAGCTCTTTCGTCTATGTGTGTTCTGTTTAGAACACACACAGATGTCTTACTCAACAAGTTGTCTTACTCAACAACTTCTCTGTTTTTACAGACATTTCACTCCCTTCTATCTTCCACATCCCAGCTGACCATGAGCCAGACAAGCAGCTTATTGATTGGCTGAAAGAGCATGGGGCGGACGCTGACACCATAGACAAGGTAGAGTGTCTAAAGCCTCTCAACACCACCACAGCACAGGATGTAAAGTATGGTTTTAAACTGATGGCTTACCTTTGTTTCTGTGATTTGTATTCTAGTTTGTGCTGGAAGAATACACATTGACTGACATTCTCAGCGATGTTACCAAAGATGACCTCCGCTATCTACGTCTGCGGTATCTACTTTCATATATCTG